TTTTCCAGTCGATAGATCACAATAGACTTTAGATTCGGAATTAACAATGGGCAATTGAGAGAGTTACCATGAAGTGTTTGTCTTCAAGTCTGCGAATTCAGGACCGTCTTCTTGGTGCTCTGCAATATTCTCGAGATTAATAGTTTGGCGTGAGATAAGGTGGAACTCGACACGAGACATTGCATCAGCAACAGCGTTGTTAGTGGCATCAACGTGACGAATGTCTGCCGTGAATTGTGATATGTAGTCGAAATAACGGGTCTCACGCCAACGCAATGAAGCTGGACCTTACCGTGGTGCGATGGTTTGTGTGCCTCAGCGATCCATTGAGTTATGCTGGGTGGTGCTTTTCACCTTCAGAGTCACTCCTACCAGATTGGTCAATGGTTAGAGACCAGACAAACTCAGTATCCTGGTCTTCCAGGTTGGGGGTTGGAATGAGGGTGACACCTTATTCCTTCAAACGGGCTCTTTGTAGCCCAACGCCAAACCCGCTGCCTTGCGGTCAGGTTTTGAACCAAAGGCTTTGGTTGAGAACCCTAATCGTTCTCCTGTCTAGGCCTGCACAACCTGACGGTATCCTGCCCACGCAATACAATGAATCATTCGTCAAACAATTTCTTGATGCTCTGGCCACCGCAGAGGATAATCAACGGTGCCCTATCTGCTGCATCGAGCAGGGTGGATAGGGGTTTGGATACTACTGCTCAAGCATTCCCTCTTCTTATTCCCTCTTACGCTTTATCACTCTTACCGTCCCGTTCCAGCTTCACTTTTATCCCCCTAGTTTTCAACCCCCGATTCTTGGCCCTCCCCCAACATGCTTTGCATGGCATTTCTCTTCTATTTTCAGCTCATGCTAACGCGGAGCGTCACTCCTCTCCTGTCGACAAGCCCATGTCCAACCAAACGGCCAAGCCCAGTTCATCGGTTTCCATTTGGAGCCCTCGAGCCTTCTTCAGATTGACAGCCTATCCACAACTTATCAAAACGCCTGGAACGTTGGGCTGAGCACTTTGAAAAGCAATTTAATCGGCCGGAATGGTTGGTTTTCTCGCCGACCAGTGATCGCCCCGCTCCGTGGGCTGTTCCTTTGGATCCACCCTCTCGCTCAGAAGTCGAACATGAGATCGGACTGTTGAAGTTGAATAAAGCCGCGGGACCTGATGATCTTCCTCCAGCCCTCTTCAAATTCGGGGGACCTGCTCTTGTGGATGATTTACACGAGTTACTAGTGAGACTGTGGGAGCAGAAAACTGTCCCAACCGATTGGAGCCGCTCCGTCATAGTGCCAATTTTCAAAGGAGGCTCACGATCGGAATGCGGCAGCCACAGAAGAATCAGTCTGATCTCCATCGCCTCCAAATTGCTTGCCTCTGTCATCCTTCACAGACTGACTGGCACTCGTGAAAGACAGATTCGTGAAGAGCAAGCTGGATTTCGTCGAGGTCGTGGCTGCATTGACCACATCTTCACCTTGCCTCAGTTGTTGGAGCACCGTCACATATATTGGCGGCCCACCATTGTCGTGTTCCTCGATATCAAAGGTGCATTCGATTCGGTGGATAGACATGCACTTTGGGACTGTCTACTCAGGAAAGGTGTACCTGATAAAAATGTGAATATTATCCGAGGATTATATGCGCGTAGCTCGGGCAGAGTGAGGTCTTAGGCAGGTTGTCTTCGCCCTTTAATATCTCTAGCGGCGTGAGACAAGGATGCCCGCTGTCACTTTTCCTCTTCAACTTCGCTGTTGACGAAGTCATGGAAATCGCGTTTACAGGACACGACTTAGAAGGTGTGGAGCTACTCCCAGGAGAACGACTTCTTGACTTAGAGTATGCTGATGATATTGCCCTGATCTTTGACAGCTCCCAGACGTGCCAAGCGGCACTGGACAGATTAGCACAAGCTGTCCATCACTTCGGGCTTTGCTTCGCACCCTTGGTGGGGATCAGCTAGAAGTCATTCAAAAATTCAACTACCTGGGAAGTTGTATCAGCGCCCGTGGGATTGAAGATGAGATCACGAACCGTATAGCAAAAGCTCGGGGCGCTTTTGCTAACCTTCGCCACTTATGACGCCGGCGCGACATCACTCTTGCCCTGAAGGGTAGAGTGTACAATGCAGCAGTACGTTCGACCCTACTGTACGTTTGTGAAACCTGGCCGCTTAAAGCAGCGGACCTGAAGAGGCTAGTTACGTTCGACCACCGGTGCCTTCGTAATTTAGCTCACATCTGGTGGGAACACCGCGTGAGCAACGAGCGTGTTCGACGCCTTGTTTATGGCACAGGAAAAGGAAATGAACCGCTCAGCACCGTTATTCCACGCATCAGGCTCCGATGGCTCGGCCACGTTACGCATGCCAGCCCACCGACTCCCGCGACGTGTGTTGTTTGCGCGCCGGGGATGTGGATGGAAGAAGAGGAGGGGTGGCCAAGCGATGACTTGGTCCAGAGCAATGAAGGCCCTCACTTCGGAGCTGGCCTCGGTTGGAGCGTCTCGGCTCCCTGGTTGGGGTCCGAAAGACGATGAACACGTTTGGTTGGACACACTTGCTGATATGGCTCGGAGCCGACCTCAGTGGCGTTCGTGCTGTGAGTTTCTTTGTCCCACCCCATCCCTCTTAGCCTCCTCCTCCAATCACGATCTCATTATTTAATTTTATATAATTCTGCATAATATTTTTTGATGCACAGTAGCCGGCTAGTAGCTTACCGGAGCGATGCCCATCCGTTACCGGTAGCTCAGCCGACTTGCACGAGTTACTTTTTTTTACTGTGTATTGCGGCACAGTAGCTGAGGTTTTCCGCACCTCTAGCTAACGTGTATGATGATGATGATGATAATGGTATATAATTATACTTGTACTTATAATAATTATTTAGCATCGTTTCTTTTTTTGCCTTCGGATTTTACTGTTCTCCTTTTTCTACTTCATGTACCCGGCCCAGCAGGGACTACTAGTGCAGGATTTGTTGACAGTAGTTAGTTAGTGAGGGTGTGTGCGGTCTTCGTTACAAATCCATCTACATTCCAAGACCCCTCCTCAACGACCCACTGAAGAAAGAACACTCACGAGATAACCCTGTCGTCCCAATCACACTTGAACTATTAGCACTACCGGTCACTCCAAGGCCAGATGCCAGCCATTTATCGGGCGGCCGTAAAATTTCATTTTATGTAAAAATTTTATGTAAAAAATAAACATATAGAGTGAAGGAAACGTGGCTAAAAAATGAAACATAACGGTTTGCGCAACATGATCCTGGTCTACAAAGTACGTGTTCTGCAATACATAATGTTGCCGCTACGTATTGAGTATATCGCTCTTAATGATCACAGCCTGCCTACATAAAGGACCGGGCGACCATCGCAATGACCTTAGCTCACGCGCGACTGGCGGTTGTTGCGCGGCAGAGAAGTGTTGGTACTGCGTACCGACGTACTGGACACTGGTTCCAGTAAGGCGTCTCAAGTGAACGTTTTCTGTCACTCGTTTACATAAAACATGGGATCAAAATAACGTTGTAAGTCTAAATACGATGTGTTTGTAATGCATCAGCAGCACTATTGTTCCCAACTTATCGGCTCTTGTTAATAAAATTGTATATCCAGTCAGCGCGAGTAACTGACAGTTTACTGTCGAGTGACCGATTTGTGTGCCCCTGACCGTCCTCATGAAACAATTCGTCCAGAAAATGGACACAAAATTTTTTTAAGCTTAACCTTGCGTTTTACATCACATAGCGAGGCTTCGTGGATGATGTCGTACATTGCTTTTGGAATCAATTTCAATTCATCGCGGACGGCATTAACGATCAAGAGAAATTCATAAACCGCATTTGTTAAGGTTGCTCGATTATGTCGTTTTTTCGAGTGACCGTCATATGACCGAAATTCATCGCGCTTGGACGACCAGGGGCACAAAAGTTGGTAACTCAACATGCTCTAATGGGCACTCCAGCGTGCACCAGCCATTCACTCGTACTCAGCGGCCCCTGTCCTATAACCACACTTGATCTCATTTTGTCAAAGCGGTTGCACTTTTTGGGCTAACCATTGCAACACTGTTCGTGTCATGAATTTGATGGAGGATAGATAGTATGTCTTGCCGGTGCGATCACGCGATCAGCCCAATGGCTAACAAAACCACGATTAGTGCACAAACTACTAAAGGGTTAAGGATCACACATACCAAACTCATCTTACGTTGACTAGCACTTTGTGAGATTGAGTAGGATCCACAAGACGCATTGAACGTATATCGATTTAGAAGGCCTGGGCCTGGGAGTTAGGCTAATCATCTAGAAACTTCGGTACGCAAGCTACAGTAGAACAAGCGATAGATTAGAACACCAAACATAAAAACGATAGTTTACAATAACATCGAAGTGGCAACGACGTAACAATGTAAATTCACGTCCTTCTCCCCGGCCGATAGATGATGAACAGATGTAGTAATCATGCAAATTAAGCTTCGCAACTGCGTAAAAAATACGCTTGTTCTTTGTTGTTGGATGAACCTGCTATCGGTATTAGCATGGATCTCAGAGAAACCGATTGTTCTCAAATTTTCCTGAAACTAGCACTCAAAGTGCTCTATTTACATGCAATCCAAGCGCAAGACCTGGTCTTGATTTAGCCAGCCACTACGGCTCTCTCCACTTAACCCCCTAGTCAAATGAAACGCATGAAGTTTACGTTTTGTTTATGGATGCCGGCGACCATTGAACATTCACACTAGTATTGACATCACTCGTAAGATGACTAAGATCGTCAGTTATAGCTCACAAACTAATGAATCTTCCTAATGGGATCTAATTATTATATACTCGTGAGTAGGGTTTTTGATGTAATTACTTGAGGTTTCATCGCCTTAACTTCAAATTATTATATGTTATAGTCAAAGTATGATGGATCAAGTATTGCCATTCGCAAATAGAATGACACTTTCTACGATCATCTGATTGAAGCTTGTACTACCTCGTATTTTCAGGTCGAATTGAAATTATGTTCGACGAACCCTGTGTGCACGTTTCCAGCATACTGCAGTGATTGGTTATTGCTTTCGATATGGATAAGCCACAGATTATAGGTCATATTCAAAAATCGGTCAGCTTCACTCTGTTCGATTGCGCGTGGATACCGGTGACCACAAAGTTTATCGTTGTGGGCTCTTATCCTCGAAACACAGGAGCTATACAAGTATACGACGTCACTGCAGAAGATGTAAAGCTTTTAACTGAAGTAAGTCTTTTCCTCCCCGCCACTACTCCGTCACCGACATTAATCGATGTACTGAAAATTTATACTTCCACTGTGGCGATGGGAATACAATAGCTTTCTACGCAACCCTAATCACGGCAATGGTTGAAACTCTCCATGGAATGCGTTGGACTTATACCACTCTTTTTTTAGCTGCACCTTTAGAACGCGAGGCGAAGTTCAAATCTCACGCTCGGTAGAATGTCAATTGTTGCCTATGCATTTGCTTCGGTTTCATCCCTTTATTCTGCTGAGATTCTCTTTAAGATGTCACTACAGACTCTTTATATATTTCATCACCGACATTTGTATTTTATCCATCCGTCTAGTAAGTGGCGTTTGGGTCCTATTGCATGCTGTTAGGTTACACAAAACTCCGCGGGTTGGTTTTGCTCCATCCCGTCCTGATTAGTGAAGTTAATGTATCTATTCCACCCCGTGCGACATTTTCGCCTTTACCGTTTGATCTGAATGTTATGATATCAAGATTGAGCTACTTGCTTAAATATATCTTCCCAGTCACCCCAGTGCTTATCATCTCTTACTGAGACTGAGACTGTACTTACGAGCAAGTAGCAAGGTTTCTCTACAACTCTCATTCATTCACTATACACGTCAGCTAGAGGTGGGAAACACCTCAGCTACTGTACCGCAATACATAATTGAAAAAGGAAAATAAATACAACAATTGCATGCCAGCTGAGCTATCAGCAACGGATAGGCATCTTTCCGGGAAGCTACCAGCCAGCTACTGGGCAAAAAGAAAAATTATTATGTTTTACGCTAAGAAATGAGATCGTAGGTAGAGGGGGAGGCTAAAAGGGATGGGGTGGGACAAAGAAACTCACAGCAGGAACGCCACTGAGGTCGGCTCTTTGCCATGTCAGCAAGTGTATCCAGCCAAATGTGTCCACCGTCTTTTGGATCCCAACCAGGGAGCCGTGACGCTACAACCGAGGCCAGCTCCGAAGTGAGGGCCTTCATTCCTCTTGACCAAGGCATCACTTGGCCACCCCTCCTCTTCCATCCACATCCTCGGTGAGCAAACAACGCACGTCGTGGAAGTCGGTGGGCTGGCATGCGTAACACGTGGCCGAGCCATCGGAGCCTGGTGAGTGAAATGGCCGTGCTGAGCGGTTCAGTTCCTCTTCCTGTGCCGTAAACAAGGCGTCGAACACGCTGGTTACTCACGCGGTGTCCCTACCAGATGTGAGCCAAATTGCGAAGGCATCGATGGTCGAACGTAACTAGCCTCTTCATGTCCGCCGATCTTATGGGCCAGGTTTCGCAACCGTACAGTAAGGTCGAACGTACCGCTGCATTGTACACTCTACCCTTCAGGGCGAGAGTAATGTCGCGCGGCCGCCCTAGGTGACGAAAGTTAGCAAAAGCACTTCGAGCTTTTGCTATACGATTCGTGATCTCATCTTCCATCCCAAGGGATCTGATACAACTTCCCAGGTAGTTGAATTTCCGAACGACTTCTAGCTGATCCCCACCAAGGGTCAGCGCAGGAGGCGATCCCTGCCAATCTTGGAGGAACGCTTTGCATTTCGATGGTGCAAAGCAAAGCCCGAATCGGCTGAGAGCCAGTGCTAGTCTGTCCAGCGCGGCTTGGCACGTCTGGGAGCTGTCACAGATGAGGGCAATGTCCTCTGCATACTCCAAGTCAAGAAGTCGTTCTCTTGGGAGTAGCTCCACACCTTCCAAGTCATGTCCTGTAAATGCAAACTCCATGATTTCGTCAATAGCGAAGTTGAAGAAGAAAGGTGACAGTGGGCCTCCTTGTCTCACCGCTGGAGATAGTAAAGGGCGACGGCAACTTGCCGTAAGCCCTCACTCTGCCCGTGCTACGCGCGTATAATGCTTGGATAATATTTACATATTTCTCGGACACACCTTTCCCCTAGTAGACAATTGCAAAGGACACATCGATCAACCGAATCGAATGCATCTTTGATGTCGAGGAACACGACTACGGCGGGCCGCCAATATGTGTGACGGTGCTCCAACAGCTGACGCAAGGTGAAAATATGGTCGATGCGGTCACGATCCCGACTAAATTCGGCTTGCTGCTCACGAATCTGACTTTCACGAGCGCCAGTCATTCTGTGAAGGATTATGGAGGCGATGGAGATCAGACTGATTCCTCCATGGTTGCCGCATTCCGAACGCCAGCCTCCTTTGAAGATGGGAACAATAACGGAGCGGCTCCAGTCGGTTGGGACAGTCTCCTGCTCCCCCAGTTTCACTAGTAATTCATGTAAAACATCAACAAGAGCAGAGCCTCCGAATTTGAATTATGAAAAATCAAAAACATTTAATTTCGAATCGTCAGCGGTAGTGTTTGGTCAGTTAATCGATTACCCTTCTTCGGTTAGGAATTCGTATTAGTATCATTATTTCCGGGTGTACGATGTTCTTTTTGCATTGTATGTGCACCGTCTCACAAAAGCACAGTTTTCTGAACTAATGGTCGATACGTGTTTTAAAACACTTCACAGAATCGGCCTCTTTTAATCCTTCTGGTGGTGTATCTCATAAGTTTACAATTCTTCGTTCTGTACAAAGCTGATGTGATACCTTATTCATGCAGGGGACCCTGAGTTTGTAACGGTGTCCTCGGGTGTTACAGGATTCGCGCAGGTGAGATATTGGCCGCAGTACGGGGAAATGATTCAAGTGTAGTACTCAATAGGTCATAATATGGTCAACACAAACTTGGCGGTAGGATAATGTGTAGAGTCCGAGCCTTTCACAACGTTTTTCATGCAGAAGTTTTCGTAGACTCGGTATCATTCTAGTTGCGATATGCTGTATTTTCTTCAGCTTTTCAGTTTCCCACTTGGTTATCAAATAGTAAGCTAGGGCACCGTATTCAAGGATTGGTCTAATGAGCGAGGTGAATAGACGAAGGACGGTTTCTTCGGACCATGTGGAGAAACTGCGTCTTAATGCCCAGAGCATACGAAGTCCCGCACGGTACAATTTCCCTGTATTTTCTAGTGATCTCATATCATGTCACGAGAGCACTCCTAAGTCTCTGACAGATCTGTTAGAGTGAAGCAACTGGGCGTCCAAGGTGTATGATCGAGTGGCTGGACGTCTGGTGATACTGATAAACTCCGACTTGCTTGCGTTAAGAGGGAGTTGCACTTCAGTGGACCACGTTGACAGTCGATTCAAGTCATGCTGGAGGTGAGCACAGTTGTCCTGGTTCTCAATGATCCTCCAGATTTTCAAATCATCTGCAAACAGGGCACATGGTGACCGGAGCTGTTGCGAAAGATTGTTGTTATGAATAAGAAATAATGCTGGCCCAAGTACAGTTCCTTGAGACTCGCCACTAGTCGATGGGAACCAGTCTGTCATGTAGTCATTGACCTGTACTCTAAACCTTCTTCCCACAATAATCTCGTGTAACCACTGTAGTAGCGTGCCACAGATTCCGGTCCTCAGTTTACGAAGGAGTACCTCGTGGTTCACTGTCAAACGCCTTAGTAAAGTCGATGTACTACGTCAACATTCTTCTGTTCGCTGGGAGCTCGTACCTACTGGTGGTTTGCGTGCATCAAGTTGGTGATGCAGGATCGCCCTTTTGTAAAGCCGTGTGGCGCTGGCGTCAATACCTCCATCGATTCGAAGAACGACGGCAGGCACTTTTTCACAACCTTCTCGAGAACTTTGGATAATATCGAAGTCAAACAGATCGGTCTATAATTCTCTACTGTACTCGGATCACCATCCTTGGGAAGCGGTCTCACTATCGAGCATTTCCAGTCGTTAGGGACAGGTCCTTCAGATAGTGATTTGTTGAATAGATTTGTCACGACTAGTGAGATGATAATAGACAGGGACTTGAGTATTAGTGGATGAAGTCCGTCTGGTCCAGGGGCTTTGCACCATCAAGGTTGACGAGTAGCTGATACACTTCGACTGCATCATATTGCAGGCTGTCGAGCAAGACTGGTGCAACCTGTGCTGTTACTGGAAGTGCCGCTGGTTTACTGTAAAATACGGTGAGGAATTGTGAAGCTAAGGTGTCCGCGTGCTTCGCGCTTGAAATGAGCGTCTTTCCGTCCAAGCTCTAAGACCGGTACGTCTCCCCCAGGTTTCACTTGACATTTCAAGTAGGCAAATATTCTTTTGTGTGCAGTCGTGGCCGAGGATGCTAGCTCCTCTTGATCTTTGCGGCATTACATAAGTTACGCTGTTTCTTGTACACCGAGTAATCCTCATCACAACATGAGCTGATGCATCTATCCCAAAGTAGTGTCCAAACAGTCTGACTTGCGGCTTTGACGAGTCCGTTGAAGTCCGTCGTCCAATAGTTGAATATTGTTGGTGGTACTACGTTAACGACAGTACTATGCTTGCCACAATGGAGCATTGGTCACTGCTCGCAAGCGGTTCGAGGACTCTGATTTAGTTCAGCTTCTGCTCGCGGCTCGTAAACGTTAGGTCCAGACCAGGTGCCGGGTGCGGAGTTACGCGCGTCGTTTAGATGACATATTGCGTTGCCCCGATTTCAATAGTCATTTTAGCGAACTGAACCTCAACGTCGCCATGAGCGGGAAGAAATCGAACGTCTGACCAGAATATCTTAGGTAAATTTAGACCCCACATCAGTAAGAATCGAAGGCGGCTCTTGTGCTTTCGTATATGTGGTAGCGAAGCGCAACGACGGTTTAATTGGCTATGGTAGATAACACCCATTAATTATTCTACGCGTCTGAGGCAGATTGTGCACCACAATTGCTCGCATAAATTATCCTCGCTCCGATAGGTGCTGGTAAGTTTGCCAGATAGTAATGATTTTATGTATAACAGGACACCACCGTGAGCCTTTGATTTTCGGTCGCATCGGAAACAAGACTATCCTGACAACACGACTTCTTGAGGTATGACGTCGGAGTTCAGCCGTCTCTGCAAGTCCTAAAACATCCGGCTGTTCCGAGACAGCAAAGCGGCACAGTTCGTCACGTTTGTTCACTAGGTTGCACACGTTGGCGAATGCCACACGGAGGTCCTGGGAGGCACCGCTGGACGTGCTTGGAGACTGAGCAACCGCTTGATGCGGGTTCGTACACCATTCGAGTAAACTGCGAAACGTCACTGAGACTGCATCGACCATTACCTCTTTACTAAAGTCTCCCGCTCTTGGATTAGTTATACTAGCTGATGCAATAATTAATCGGCGGGGTCACGAGGAGCCTATATCAAAAAGGCAACGAATGAGTTGATTGCGTATCAGCGCTGCTGAAAGACGTTACTTCCCACTCCATTTACTGATTCAGAGCGACAACGCGATATGTCAGTGAAATTGTGTTGTCGCACATCTGACAACATTTACCGATTGCTGCCCAAAGTCCGACCGCGCTTGATGCGAATGCTGGCAAGGTGCCTACATGTCGAATACAGCAATCTCGCTTGCTAGTTCCAATAGACTGCTGATTGTTGCTGGGGGGGGGGCGGTGTGTACAGTTTTCGTGGGAGTGTCAGGCTCAAAGAGCAATTCCATTCAGAATTGAATGGGCTACGGACCACTGTGTACGTCTGATACGCATGTTTCCACCAATTTCACATGAGCGATGTGCATGTTGAAGGGATGTATGTCGGCCCAGAGTCAGTTGTGTTCCCCACTTATGGCAGAACTCGATCCTCAAGGGACAAGCGTTTATTCGGCAAAGGCAACTCAGCGAAAAGTACAGCACGTTTGGCAATCCAAACTCCTCGTTAAAAGTTACGCGTTCATGTCCATAACTAACGATCCTACTGATTTAATGAGGTTCTTCCTTTGACTCAGTTAAACAGACGATGAGTAACACACAAATGTCAGCCAATCCGTGTCCAGTAATCTAATCCGTTACGTCCGTCTCCCATTGGTTGTTTGGCTTGCTCGTTTGGTCCATGCGTTCACTCTGACCTCCCTTCATACCACTCAAATGGCTTCCAGTCTTATCCTTTCGGGTCTATACTGGATAGGGGTGTGTGGACGATACTGTGGTTGGTGTCGCACAAGCTATTCCTTGTCCTTTGGTAATCACACTGACAAGCAAATCCGGAAACAGATGCCACCAGCCATTGTACTCTGATCACTAGTAAGTTACTCATGAGTAGTAATGCATAGCGCTGCAGTTATTCAAGCGGTCTGTTCAAGCCAAATTGCATCGAGCCTGAGCAAAACAGGTGTTGTTTGCTCATTTCGCGAGCGCTTCTACCCTGGTGTCTCCATTCCTTCACTCAGCCTTTTGAGCGGAGACAACTCACAATGCGGTGTACACGGTAAGCCATAAGTAAGAGTTTCGGTATCACAACCATCTTTCCGGGGACATTCCAGAAGCGCCATAAACTAGCTTATCTGTGAACTCAACATCATGGAAAATACTTGGAATCGATCGAGAATTCATGATTTCAGAAAGTTATAATGACCAAAGCGACTCCTTCGATTTTTTGGAACGCCTGTTTTGTCAGCGACTCACTACGTGCCATATATTTTATGGTAAACTTTGGTCAGTCAAATCACTGAAACTATCTGCAGCGCAGAAATGGTACGTGTTATTTGGTGTCAACATTGCACTCTATGATGGAGAAAACAAGGTGTGTTTGGTTTCCTGACCACACAAGCGCTTGCTCGCCGGTAGCGTGAAGACAAACCTGTCCAATGTGTAAATCTGAGTTGTTCCTTATAATACTTCTTTTGAAGGACAATCGCACTTCGTGTATCATCGTTTGAACGATGAAATCGAAACGTTTTGTTCTAAGTACGCAATGTAACGTTTTCTTCCTTTTTTAACTCGTAGCTATCACAACTGTTTTGATTTTTCCTTTCAGACAGAAAAATCCAGTTCCTTCAAATGCTGTACCTTCGGGGCATCTCTGCTGCCACAGCGCCATTTGGCGACCGGTGCGTTCAATGGTCGCATGGCAATCTGGGATATGGGATCATCCTGTCGTTTGGATGCCCCAGTGTATGGTGTACAGGCCCATTCAGAAATTGTTAATTGCATAGATGCTGTGGGAGGCGTCGGTGTCGGTGAGGGAGCACCTGAGATTGCCACTGGCAGTCGTGATGGTGCAGTGAAAGTGTGGGATCCCAGGCAACCGAAAGTTCCTGTGGCCACAATGGAACCGGGTCCATCAGACACCTCTGAAACATCAAATTTCTCATGCAACCGCCGAGACTGTTGGACCGTTGCATTCGGGCATGCCTACAATCCTCAAGATCGTTGTTTAGCTGCTGGATATGACAACGGCGACGTCAAACTGTTCGATCTTCGTGCCATGAAAGTACGTTGGGAGACGAACATTAAAAACGGTGTTTGCTCGCTTCAGTTTGATCGGAAGGATATACAGATGAACAAACTAGTTGCGACGACGTTAGAGGGGAAAATACACGTGTGGGATATGCGGACCCAGCATCCGACAAAGGGCTTCGCGTCTTTGACAGAGAAAACTCAAGGTTCTACTATCTGGCAAGTCCGGCATCTGCCCCAACAAAGGGACGTCTTCATGACTCTGGGTGGTAACGGAAATGTGTGTCTATGGCAATATCACTACCCAGCCAAACGTAAACGGACTGTGCGCGAGGCCGCGCCCGATGGAAGTGGCGACATTGAGGTTGCCCAAGGTGTTGCCGGCACTTTGAGTCAGCTGCAGAATGTAACACTGTCAAGCCAACCTGTTTGTAGCCTTGACTGGTGCCCAGACAAGCTTGGCTTAGCTGTGTGTGTCTCTTTCGATCAGACATTACGACTGTTGATTGTCACAAAATTGAACAAGCTATGACATAAAACCAATGATGTTTGTTGTTACTTTTATTTTCCATCACGTTTGGAATGATACATTCCAGTATGGCGTTCCTTCACACCGATGCAGTTGCGGCAACTCGGGTAGTTACTCTATAACATTTAACTGGTTTCATTTACTGCACCGAAGGCTAGACCTGTTACGGTGTCAAGTCAAAGTGGGCCTACTGCACCCGGGTAGGCACATTTTCAGCACATTACGCTATCACTGCGAATGATGAAGTATATGAAATTACTATTAAATAGAAGAAATAAATCGTCCAAAAATGTCTACACATATCACTGCGCATAGCGACCTCCGGTCGGTTATTTTTGGCTGTGTTGACAAGATCACTTTGTGAGTAGCAGGATTTCATATGTGATTTTTTAAGGTATTCATCCCAGTAGTTCACAAACTGCATAGCATAACCTAGTTCGGAAAAGCCCCAGACGCTTTTCGCCCTACTGGGGCTCGTCAGTGGTGCGCATTCCCTCGGTCCCCTACTGGGCATCGAACCCATGACCGCTAGAGGCAGATGCCAACTAGCCAGCAGTTTAAGCCACTGGGCCAAGGGGGACGTTGGCTGAGCTACATTATTTGCAATCTAACTGGGACATAGCACCCCCTATATTCCACTGTCACTGACAGTGGCTAGCCTGCAAGGTGGTGGCGTCCTCTCGTCCCCCATGACCCAGTCGCTTAAACTGCTGGCTAGTTGGCATCTACCTCTAGCGGTCATAGGTTCGATCCCCGGTAGGGGAGCTAGGGAAGGCGCACCACTGACGAGCCTCAATAGGGCGAAACGCGTCTGGTGCTTTTCCGGACTAGGCTGTGCTATGTAGCTTGTGAACTATTGGGATGAATACTTTAAAAAAGATCACTTTGTTTTAGATTTCTTCGTTCACCGAAAGTATTTCGTGGAAATTTAGATACAATTTAGTTTCATTTCTGATTCTGATTTTTTCGACCAAAAATATTTGTGTTTTCATCACTTGGTTTCGGCGATCTCGCTATTGCCATTTTTTTCCAGTCATTGGTCGCTGTCTTGTTTTCGGATTATTCACAATGCCGAAGCAGTGACCCTACGGTACTTGTTCCTAGGTAGTCGGATACCGTGCACATGCCTTCGCGTGTGTTTTGTGCCAAGTTAAATACCACATTTCAGGTGTTGGATTATCATTTGAACATTTTCATCCTCTTCGTGAAATCCATCACGGTCTCGTCCAAACATTATGTGAAAATTGTGGAAACAGGTTACAGTCAGGAAGAGTAAATTCGACGTGTATGCTCCATCATTCCGTTGCGAACAGCTCCGCGTGTTTGGCCCAACAACCTAGCCCGGAGAACCTTCAAATTTCAGCTTAGTCTTCCTCCACTACCCATGCAAACTCACCGGCACGAAGTCCAACCGTTGTGAGAAGCCCAGTTTTACCTGGCATAGGTTGTTTACCTTCGTTGTGTCGAAGGAGCACTGATGTCCCAGCAGGTGAAAGCCTGAGTGCTGAAGACCAGTGGAAAGAACGAGATTAGAAAGGGTTGTCGGGCGTTTAACTTCTGTAAGTCAAACCACATAAGGATGGTAATATACTTCGCACTGCAAGGTCAACCTCGTCCGACCAGAAGCGTCATAACCTCGTGATCTTCCACGCGCCGGAGTCCAGTGATCCATCACCCCAAGTGCGCTACGATCACGATGTCGAGTTTTTACAGAGTCTAATTGACAGACTCCTCGACGCTGGTGAGGACTCGGTAAGAGTGAGACAAATTATCCGTCTTGGAAAGCAAGGTGATCAACAAAATCGGCCTATGAGAATCACTTTTGTGGACGAAGCCAGTCCAAGACTGCTCATGTCCCACCTAAGTAGGCTGAAAGGTTTGAAGATCCATGTTCGTCCAGACCTGGACCCAGTAGGCAGGGAGCGACTCAAGTCTGCCATCAATGAGCTGAAAAGACGTACTGGTGTGCGGGAAACAAGTCTTCGTAACGTAAATTTTCGGGTGGTTTCCAACAATCCGCGAATCAGGAGAAACAGGCTGCTCACACTTCAAGCACGCCCGGCGGCTCCTGTGGCGGCCTGCGAGTAGCCTTCGTAAACGTTTGCAGTAGTATGAATAAGCGCGATGAGCTTTGTTGTTTCGTTGCGTCTGAGCGGCCAGACATAGTGGGGCTCGCAGTGACATGGCTAGATGCAGAGTTATACACCCAAGAACTTGAACTCAACGGTTACTCGTGCTTCCGATGCGATAGACTAAAGAATGCCCGCGGTGGTGTCTTGCTTTACATCCGGTCTTCCCTGCGTGGGAGACTTGTGAGCATCTACCGAAGTGATGATGGTTTGTGTGAGCTACTGTGGTACCCCATCCACCTCAGGCGCGGAGAACTACTTGTGGGCTGTCTATCGCAACCCCTTGAGTCGTTGTTTGGATTGGCTATCCCATCTTCGAACCCACATGTATCGTCCACACTTTCTACTTATGTGCGATTTTAACTGTCCTCGAATACGATGGCCTGATGTGCATTTGATTCCTGGACATGGTGAGGTTGAAGCAAAGTTCGTGGATTTGGTACTCGAAACTGGTGCATCGCAACACATATGCCAGCCAACACGCATAACATCACGCTCAACCCCGTCCTGTCTCGACCTGATGTTAATGAGCTACGAACAACGAGTGCGTGTCGTTCGGGTTCTGGAGCCGTTGACTACAAGCGACCACTCAGTGCTCATAGCTGAGATGGAATTACGTTTGCCGTATTCACGTACGCTGGAACCAGCTCACAACTACTGGAAAACGGACCTAGATGGTCTAGCTCGAGCCGCGAGCCAAATAGATTGGTCTCCTTCACAAGCTGCATCTATGGAAAACTGTTGGTTATTTATAAAAATGAGATTGACATCATTGTGTTCCCAATTTATTCCCTTGAAATGTCGGAAGGTTGGACCGATTAAGCTTTATTGGTTTGACAAGAAGTATGGAAATCTGGCTCGGAGGCGGCGCAGACTGTGAGACGGGTTCCTCCTCTCTGGCTCTGCCAGTGACCACGAAGGATATAAAAGTCAGCGGAACCCCTGCAACAGTGCAAAAAGGAATAAGAGTCAACATTTCGAAGAGCAGCTCGCAGTCGCCGCGAAGACCGCCCCAAAGAGAAACTTTGCTTACGTAAAGCGACCCCTGAAGCCGGCAGGTGATGTGCCAGTGCTGGATGGCCAGGACAGACAGCATCTAACCTCCAGCACTGAACATGCGGCCGCGTTGGCGGCGCACCTCGCTTCTGTATTTGCAAATGAATAGGTGTCTGTTCCGAGTTCGGTGTGTACCGCTTTTACCGAACTCGATAGTCAGTCTGCATTGCGGCATTGAAGAGGTATGTCAACTACTCGCCAGCCTTGACGGCATCAAACCTGCCGGACCTGATGGTCACCACTCACTGATTCTCAAGTCACTTCCGGTCATCATCTCTCCTGCCGTGACTGACCTTTTCAACAGGTCGCTGTCCGAAGGTTCGTTGCCGATTGACTGAAAATGTTCAGTGGTGAAGCCTATTCCGAAAGGCGGCGACCCTAGCAAAGTAGACAATTACAGGCCAATTTGTCTGACACCTATTTTGGCGAAGGTTGCTGAGAAAATCGTGAAGAAGGGATTGCTGCAGTTGCTACAGTCAAACAAGATCCTGATGCCCGCACAGCACGGTTTTATGCAAGGTCGCTCAAGCATTACGAACCTGCTTGTGACGAGGCATGAGTGGTTGAAGGCAATAAACAACGGGGAAGTCCGTCGACGTGATATTCATCGATTTCAGTAAAGCGTTCGACAAGGTCAGTCATAAGGTTCTCCTTCACAAACTCAGAATGTGTGGTGTCGGTAGCTCACTGCACCGGTGGATCCGCGACTTCCTTGTTGGACGAAAGTGGAGGGTACAGGTCGACGACCATCTAACTGACTGGTACCCCTCTACAAATGGCGTGCCTCAAGGCACTGTGCTGGGACCCACTCTGTTCTTGATCCACATCAACGATCTACCGCAGCTTCTCCGGTCGCCGTGTGCCTTGTTTGCGGACGACATGAAGATTTGGAGAGAAATCGACGCTCCCGATGACTGGCCTACTTCAGCAAGACCTCAACCGCCTATCCACATGGTCTGCAGAAGTTCTTCTCCCGGTCAACCCAGCCAGATTTATTTGTGAGTCTGTGGAAGGGTGCTGACGGCCAACCGCTATATCCCACACCCTCCGTGAAGGACCTAGGTGTACTTTCGCGCTACGGTTTGAAGTTGGTGGACAACACGAAAAGGCTATATCGTAACGGACTGCGCATGCCTTGGGCGCTCAAACGTAGCTTCGGCGCACGGTCTGAAGAGATTGCCACTCGCCTCTTCTCTTCCATCATTAGACTACGGTTCGCCCGCCTACATTCCGATTACCCGAGGCGAGGCACAAAAGATCGAACCGGCCCAACGCGTTGCTACCAGGCTCATTCCTAGTTTATTTGGCTTGGGGTATGAAGACCGGTGCGAGAAACTAGGAGTCTACACCTTTTCCTACCGTCGGGTGCGAGTCGACCTCATTATAACCTACCGCATTCTACATCTCGGTGAATTCCCCATGCTGAGGCCAATGCTACACTTACGAGCGCCATGCAGCACACGCGGACATAGATACAAACTTGTCGTACCGGATATGAAGCGAGTTCCCCACCCACTGTGCTTCGAACGGAGAGTGGTAAATATTTTGAACAGTTTGCCTGAACATGTGATGGAGGCAACATCTGTGCAGCAGTTCAAAACGTTGTTAGATTTATATTTTGCCACTACTCGATTCGGAGGACCCTTGCACACTTACGATGGCATGTCACATTTGTGAGTCTTGTAATACCGTGAGTCAGATATTTTACATGTTACACAAGAACCATAACGACAATTTTTATAACGTTTTTCACCACATTTCGAAAGAGTTGTACAGAATTCATTTCTACTTGCACTGTAATACAGTGTTCAGTAAATAGTCTCGCATCCTACTGATAGTTTTGG